TTCACATATTGATAGAATATTTACAAGTTGAAAACTATGCAAAACGCTGTTAAAACCGTGTCATACTCTTCTCTATTATGCACTCTTGATATATATATATGTAGCGGTTAGTATATTGTTACGTAGTTGTACTGTTTATAGTTTTATTTCACGAGAGATGGCGCTGGCGGGCGTGTTGTTACGAGGAAGAGTGACGCGAGGGCGGAGAAAGGAGAAATGCTTTTGTGAATTGACGGATGTTTTTTGGGAAATAACAAGTTTTAATTACATCTAGAGTTTGGTGTTTTACTGGAAATCCTTGCTTGAGCGTTTGACAACAGCAAGACAGGGGCCTGAACCCCGAGGACTGGTATTTATACTGATAACACACATTAGTACTGGTAACATATATATATATATATATATACAGGGTTCTTGTTAATAGCCGGTAACCGGTTATTTTTACCGCCTATCGCGCAATTTGTTACCGGCTATCAATTTGAGAAACTCCCACTAAAGGCGGTAAAATATTTAATCCATATTTGAAAAAACGAAGTTTATTTTAAATACTTCCAACCCAAGACTATAACTCTGTGCACGGGCGGGTTTTTCTTTTTATAATAGATACTTAATAGCATATATTTTCCTATCTAAACTACCAAATTCTAGAACCCATACCCATCAAAATAGGCTATTTGTGGGTCAAATCAGAATTTTTTTTCCCCCGGACCCCCCTAGCAGGGCTTCGCGCCTTCGCCGCTCGCCCTACCGTCCGTGCCGGAAAAGCAGTTACCTGCTATTCATTATCAAATTACCTGCTTTGTCAAAAGTTAACAAGAACCCTGATATATATATATATATCAGGGGTTAATAATGACAATGTCAGCATGTTGCAAATGACAAATGTAGCAATGTCATTATTAACCCCTGATATATATATATACAGTGTTTCCCCTGGCTAAAAAGATCAGCGAGGTGGTAAAATTTTTTTTGCTGGTCGCGCAAACCGAGAAGCCAGCACCGACGGTGATCGCCATGCTAGGGGGGTCTGGGGGCATGCTCACCCAGAAAATAAAAAAAGGTGGAATTTGGTGCATTCTAAGCTATTCTGAACACATTATATGAGACTCTTGAATCACTTTTTCAAGTTGTCAAAAGTAACAAACAAGTTTCTGGGAAAGGTTTTACTTTCGTTTCTCTCCTCCCCAGTCCTCGGTACCCCGATGCATAGATCAATGCTGCCGCATATCCGCAAAGTTACAAGTGCCTAGAATCTTGAAGTATATATACAGTTTACATTGCTTCTAGATATCTAACTGAATAAAAATAGTCGACTTTCTAAGTAGCGAAAAGTGCCGAATTCAGTTAACAGCTTTGATTACGTGCGTGTCAGGTGTAATATGAGGGGAAAAGTGCCGGTCAGGAGGACCGGCAGTTTCATAGAGATAATGGCCGAAGCAAAAACTTGGTGGCCTCGGGCCTCCGGGTCGGCATTAATTTCAAACGCTGTCAATAATGTGTAGTTTATTGATGGAAGAACAGTGATTTTCGTCAGCGAGGCGGTGATTTTGGATAAATTTCTGCGTGGCGGGTGAGATTTGAGCGAGGCGGCCGCCTCGCTCGTGTCGATGCAGGGGAAACACTGTGTATATATATATATATATTTACTCTATATTCGTAAAATCTGCCACTTGAAAAAAACTATTGGAAGATGAGAGATGGCCAACTAACTACAACATTCATATTTTGAAATTGACTACAAATACAGTTCTCAATGTGTGCACATGCACAGAGCAAGTCAACAAATTATTGCCAATGGGAGCTTTAGTGAGCAACAGTGAGAAATGCAGTCGAACCTTGTCTCCAGTTTCAGGTGTAACCGGTTCCAAATGTTCCCCAAGCACACTGATCATCTTATCTTGGTCAGTCATGTACACGGAACACATTCCACCCTGAAGGAGATAAATAACAATCCGTTATAAATTTCATTTCTACCTTAAGGATACAGTTAGGGTTATGGACAGGTACCTCTGTAAAGGGCATTGCAACATGACTGCTCATCAAATTCAATAAAACTCATATCTCTTTAAGGATACTCTTAAGGTTTTAGGCAAAATTTTACCGATTTTTCATTTTCAATTTTATTCGATGGCTAACACTATGTGCCACCTTCGTACATGCTCATTTCTTCATATAACGGTACATGTGAACTGTCACAGCGATTTGATTGCCCGCGTACATGTGTAGTAAGCAGCGGCTGACGTCATGATGACGTCAGAGACATGATACCACCACGATATTCACTAAGCCAGTATTATTCAGTGTCAACCCTGCTACAGCTGTCATTACATGTATTCATGTACATTCATGTACATCTGCTAGTGATCCAACAAGTATCCCACGCCCAAAATAGTTCTAACACCTCGCAACACACCTTACTGTAGTGCAGTACAAGGCGCGCGTTTGTTGACATATTAGCTTTATGACGTCAGGATGAGCGGAGTTCGCACGTTCTGCGATGGTAACCTAGTAATTTCTCAGAATTTCTCAAGGTGCATGGAACATTTTACCAATTTAGTGGTGTCAGTTAGTCATGGATATGTCGCAGTAAGTAATAACAGTAGATATTTCACATACGTTCACCCATTTTTCACACAGGCGGTCGATCATTGTGAAAAATAGAAAAACACTGATTTCTCCGTTCCAATTTCTGACTTAGTAGCCGATGTATAAATGGATATTTCTCTGTGATTACAACTCGGATTAATTTAACTTTACACTCGTTTTAATGGTAACATATTGCTGTAAAGAAGTGCGTCAGGGATTGTTATTAAGTGCCGTATTTTATTAGTTATGCCTCTTTATTCGCTAAAATTTTCAATTCTAACACACAACTTGATTTTTAAGCAGTTTTTTCCATTTTTCTCGGTAAATATGAAAATTAAAAAAAAATCCTGACGCACTATTTTGGTCCATGTTGTGCTTAACATGTGGCAAAAATTTTGTATTCTCACTCTTTCTGGTAGTTGAGAAATATCCAAAATACCATTTTTACATAAAAATTAAAAATTTGTGTGGTAACATAATTAGGTGCTGAAAATTTCATGAAATTTTTTGCCTTGAGCATAGAGATATATCTCCTCTATAAATAAAACAAGTGATTGATTCGATTCATTCGTCAATAAACGTTTAATCTTCATTAGAGCAATAACCGTGCAAAAGGTGGAGAGTATCCTTAATAAAAGAGATGTCTCTCTACGCTCACGATGAAAATAATCACAAAAACTTCACCGCTAATTACGTGACAGCAAAAATTGTGAATTTATATAAAAAATGTTTTTTTCTTATTTCTCAGAAATAGCAAAGGGTAAGAACCTAAACTTTTAGCCATAAGTTGTTCATAGTATGAACTAGTAAACAGTCCCTGGAATAAAAAAAAAAGGTTTCATTTAGAAAAGATGCACAAGTTTTTTTAAACAACAATTTTGTAAATAAAGAGCCGTACCTTCTAAAATGTAATATTTCATAAAAAATTCCAGGGACCGCTTACTCCATTAATATGTTAGCATTAGTTTCGAGAAATAGTTTTAGAATAAGTGCCACAACAGCGACAGTGCTAATCTGCTGCTCTACTGTACTGGCTTTCGTTTCTGAAAAAGGTTGAAAGCTTGTTCTATCGCTAAACCAGCTACGTCATCATAAAAACTATGTAGCATGGGTATTAACACTAAAACTAAACCCTAACAATGCATCCTACTTCATACCTGCTCGACTGTCTTATATATTCGTGTCATAATGTATCACTAGGCCTATAGTTGCCGCGAGATGGCGCGTGCAAGTGTAATCAATAATCAAACATGGCATCGACCTTCGTGCATTGGTGAAGTCAAGAAAGTAGAGATAACCTAATTCCATTGAGTTGCTGAAATGTACAGGCTAAAATCCAAGTATATTCAGGCAGGCGACAATTTGGCTCAGCTGCGAGTAATAAATTAAACACATCTGCATTGCAGGTGTGCATGTTTATTAGAAAAGTGCCAGTTCACCCCCATGCATCAGTAATGGATTGCCCCCAGGTTTTTGACTGGATTTCGGATGCCGGTAGCCACGCTAGCATTCAGGGTGCTATTAATATACAGACTGCTTTAGAAAATAATATGATTTAAGGAGTGTAAACCTTGTTCAACAAACTTTTGTCTTTGCAATTGAACTGCAAATGTAGCCTCACGTCCACACAGGTATGGGCTCTAATAATAGCAAAAGCAGTTCAGTCCTTTGTTAACAGTCAACAAATCCATGTTGGACCCTCCCTTTCAGGGTCAAAAGGTTATCAGACACTTACTCTTCGCACGTCAGTGGAAAGCACATTTTATGGTCCTTTCAATAAAGCCATAAAAATAGTAGGTCACCGCTGAAACAAAAAAGTTTTTCAATCGCTCCGTCAGACCATGTCCTCAGAAAATGTCTAAAATCTGCCCTGTGCCCCATTGACCTTTGACCTGTGACCCCCAGCTTCGACATCCGAATTCGTTTTCGGAGTACCCCCCCATGTCCCGAATATCGTGACCGTACGTCGAGCGGTTAAGATTTGTGCCCAACTGTTGACGAACGGACGGACAGACAGACGGACGGCCAGACGCACGCACGGACAATCATGCGATTCTACAAGCTGCATCTGACTACGTCAGATGAGCTAAAAATCAGGAACTGCAGCCTTACTAACAACGGAGAAATTCGCAATTTTTTACATTCTGCGATGATTGAACTGTTGAACGACTGTGTTTAGAATTGACCAATGTACAATTGCTACCGCTAATACTCATTGCGACCTATCTGTGGCCGATTACCAACGGTCAACAAACTTTTAAAAAGTCGTGCTGTTATAAATAACTTGACAAAATAAGCCAATTGTCTCAAACTCCCATTCACCACCCACTAATATCATCTCTATGTACACATACTCGCATAGCAACAGCAGTTCAAAACAGCTGTAACAGCGTTTCTGAATCGCATGCTGGGGTGGCGTGCAGTTTATTCTGGGATAGCGCGCGCTAATGACGTACATATTTAAAGGGCGTTCCGAGGTTTGCAATAGCCAGGTAAGCGTATGCAGAGATTTTGAACTGTTTGGAAGGCTACATACATAAATATCTACGTGTATATAGCTGCCAAGGGGCACCATCTATCAAATAAAATGGGTATTTAAATTTCGACCAAATTTCACCTACCAACCCCGAATGTATCCTTAATCAGACCAATGCAGGTAATGATTCCATGTACGTGTGTTCGTGCGTGTGTGCGCGTGTTTTATATAAAGAAAGATTTTGCTAGATAACCTACATCACTTGCTAACCCATTATTTCATGCTGGTCTCTTACTGCTTTTCGAGCTTACCGATACACTTCTGATGATACCAACATGACCGATGAGAGCAGAGTCATCATGTGTGTCCTTGATGGCCACCAGTATGTCTGTTGTTTGCCAGTCTGCCCCGCCAAGAGTATCTAGGCCTGTGGAGATGCACAAACTCTTACTAATGTAAAAATAGTACTGTCATTATTATAAATTTATTAGTTAATATTAACGTTAGCCATTTATTTTTAATTAGTCTAGCATATGTACCAGAGTCAACCTCTTACACATATTTTTCCTGAAACAAGGCATAATAAACAAGCCTTCATAAATTAGCTACTATTCTGATCTTTAATGTTAAAGCCACAATATGTGCATCTAGATGCTAATTTCTCCAGTACTAGACTAGCAAATACTTCGTGTCATGCATAATCATACTACCTTATGACAAAATAAACTCTAGTTCCTCCCATTTCACTGCGCGTTGTCTTATAAAAGGTATTTGAAAATACCTCCAATCTTGTTCAAATTCTCCGATGTTGTTGACACTTTCGCGTTACTCTGCCAAGCAACCGTACAGCGAGTGTTGCAAAGATTTCTACGGCCCGTGTGCGTTTTTCGCTCGCACACTGCTAGCGCAATGACATGTTATCGTTTGCGATATCAAGACTAAAATCAATACGTTATTCTCAGAGTTTATTACGCTGCCTATTATTACTTTCCCAATAGCCATTGATGTTACATACACTGCAGTTCACAATACTACAACTATCTTAAAATGTAAACGACTATATTCTCTGCTCAACACCTGTAGCAACATGTGACGTCACCGAACCGATTCGGGGTGAAATTGCTTGGCAAACAATTTGGCGTTGGCGCCAGATTACCAGATTTCACACCTCTTTCTTGTGGGTTTTAAGCAAACGCGCAGTGAAATGGGAGGAACTAGAGTTTATTTTGTCATAAGGTAGTCTGATTATGCATGTCACAAAGTATTTGCTAGTCTAGTACTGGAGAAATTAGCGTGTAGATGTGCATATTGTGGCTTTAATTTAAAAATGAAATTTAATCAAGGCAGTTTATTATTTTAGTTTCTAGCAGCTCTGAAACATTAATATCATGTTTTTACAAATAAACATGCATCGCACGTGTAATAATAGTTAATGTTTTGCATTACTTGGGCTATGCATGAAAAATCTACTACTAAAAACAAGCAATATATACATATTGCATTCTCAACAATGAAATCTTTAAAGGGACAGTAGCCTCTAGGATTTTACTGCATACAACTGTACTTACTGTATAACAAATCGTATATACCCACACGTATTTGTTACCAGATACCTAATTTAATTGTTATAATTATTTACACATCAATGCTACGTAATTTGAACGGCGCTATGACACCCGCGACCGTGCTGCCACCCCGAAAAAGTTGCGTATTTGACAATTTATTTTGCAGGTTACAGACCGATGGCTAATCACAAAAGTGCAATTATATTTATACCTAAATGCTATTTAACCGAACGATATTCATTTTAGGGCAAATTTATCCATATTATAACTGAAACTATATGTCGTTTATAAGATATTACAATCCTTTTGCTTCTAAATGAATAAATAAGAAACACCCTCGGTCTGTAGCCCTTGGCTGGAAAGTGGTTTTGCGCAACTTATCAGATCGTGTGCTTTGAGTGGCACCACCATCGCTGTAATCAAACTGTAGTCGTTAGTTTTAAAACATTTTTTAATAATATTTCTAATGGTGATTGAACCATGAAACTTTTTTTGTAGCGTAATTATAACCTAAATTAGCTGAAAATAACCCTAGAACCTAGAGTAAACTCTCCTTTTAACACTGGTATAGCAAAATAGAGGATATAATTCACATTACAGGGTATACACATTATAAAAGGGTGGACCCTGAGCATCACGCATGTGAAATGTTTAAATAAACAAAGCCAGCATACCTGTACCAGGTGTTGTTGGAGCAAATGGTGAGGGTGCACCAGGAGTCATTGGGCTATAACCCATTGGTGATGGTGTGCCTGCATAACCCCCAGGAGATGGAGAATGCTGGTAGCCTGCTGGACTAGGTGTCGACACATATCCTGGACTGGCTGTCGCTGGAAAATAAGGTCAAGGCATAAACTAAATTAAGGGATAGTAAACAGCTTCAACCCATTTCTCTTCAGAGGCATTGTGACACATGCCTTTATCAAATTTGACCGTTTTTGCAAATGTTTAAATCATATTACTGTTCATTGTTAACATCGCAGAGCATCATTTTTGCGATAGACCAGAACAACAGTCGAATCTTGCATATGCCATTTTTTTTATGTCAACAATTCCCATCTACAAACTAAAAAATGACAAATAACCTTTGTAAACCTGCTCACATACACCAAATAGTGGAGACAAACAACTCCATGAGAAAGATAATTTGTGAAAAGTAATATAAACAGCCTGAAAGCCTTCCCTAATAAAGGATTTATTTCGAACATAATTTCCAACCAGTGAGTCTCGTATTTTTCCCACTTTTACGACACTTACCGTTATTGCTTGAGTAACAGCAACTGTCTAGAGTAATGCTAACATGAACCTTCGTACTTGGCTATATTCACCAAAACATGCACAATTCCAGTTTTGATTTAATACTCGTTTTGATTACTGCAGCCATTTCTCGCGAATCCTGGACTATCTCGCTACAGCGCGAGATATCGGCCAATTTCAAATTAGAAACGACAACTTAGTAGCGTAAACTACACAGAATCAGATGCCTTTTTGTTTGAATTAGGTGCAGAATGGGTGCACTTGTAACTTGTTGGTGCACTAAGGTGCCATTTGCATTCCAATTTTCTATGCTATAACAGCATAAATTCCTGGTGTTTTTCAAGTTGGTTTAATCAGTAATATATCTGCTATAAGGTGAGACTATATTTAGCTATATTTTTTCAGATTGTGCGTTTTGGAGCAATGCTTTCGAAATAAATCCTTTAGAAATGCTGCTGCTACCTCACCATTAAATTTAAAGCTAAATGAGTAAAGTTTTTCAAACAATGAAAACGAAGCTAATCTTCAACAGTCTGTAAGCAGGGCATCACTTCGGGAAATACTTTCTCAACATACCAGTAATTGTTCTTATCAAACCATATGAATAACCTGGTTAGGAGCAGACCCTACTGAAACTCACAAGTTAAAATTTAAAACATAATGGGTATAAATCTAAATAAACAACCACATCCTAAAAAGCACCAAGAAAAAGGAGAGGCCCAGTGGATTCATGTTCTCAGCAAACAACATCAGCATTAAACCTATGGAATTAAACTCCCCCCCCCCTCCTTCTGTCCTTGCCTCTCCCTGATGCTACAATGTGGCTAAATACACAGCCACCTCCTGCTACCCCCCTATTTATTAAATAAGTTTACTAATGCGACAGGGAAGCCACAATAATAAATGATCCATTCAGTATTTATCACTAAACAATTGTAACTACCTACTTACGATTGAAGCCTGATGGGGAAGGTGTTCCTTGGTATGGTGAATATGTGTGGTCGCTGCCATACATTCCAGCGCTGCCAGGCGTTTGTGGGGTGAACGGTCCCTGTGTCGGTGTGTCTGGCTGGTAACCAGGAGTGGCAGGATTAGGAGTTCCGACGTAGGCACTCGGTGATGGAGATGGCTCATCAAAGTGATAATCGTAATCATTGCCACTGGAATAAAAATTTATTGTTAAATGACCTTACTAGACAACAAGTCTACAGTTATTGAACCACGATTTTCAATTGATCTACAATTTTCTAGGATAAAAGCATTTCATTTCATTTCCTGGGTGCAGACCAATATATTATCATATATAAAGCTTAATTCTAAGAAATGGTCATGAATGCATTACACGATGTTGCATGGCAGATAGACATTTAGTCCCACAGCAGCAATGGACTAATATAAAGCCTACAACATTAACAATATGATATTCAATGTTATACATGTTATAGATAAAACATCAAACAATAATCGAATAAAGGGTAATGAGATGAAATTAAATCAGTTTATCCTGATGAATACATCTCTATAACCCTAGCTACTGTATAATACTCACCGCGCTGGTGTGTTGGCATTAGTTGGGTCCCACGCACCTGAGCGCCCTGGCGTTCTGCTGCCATCATCATGTAGCGGTGTCTGACTACCATAGTGTGGTGTACGATTTCCAGCTATCAGATGCAAAAAAAAAACAATCTTAGAGAAAATCAACCCAAACCAAATCAGAGAAAAAAAAGGTGTATCATAGATTGGAATCATCTATATACTGCATAGAAGTAATCACACCAGGAGAAAATAATAGGGTGTACCTTGATTATTTACTGCTGACTATATTGGAGAGTAGTCACCTGATCTAATAAGCACCAGATAAAAAAACTCCTGGTAGTACTTTGGTTATGATGTTATGAGTTTTGGACATAAACATGGTGTAATTCCTATTTACGTTCTATTTAGAAGGAAACAAGTGCCGCAGAGCGACAGGGCTCATCTGGTGTCTGGTGTTCTGGAGGTAGATTCATCAAGCTGCGTACGCAAAATATTTTGCGTAAATCTTGTGTACGCAATCGACGTTGCTTAGTTGCGATTCATCTACACAGCTATTTAGTAAATTTGCGAGGCCGTTTTAGGTGCGATTCATCAAGCTAAAATTTACATAAACCTTTGCGTAACTTTACACGAGCTGACGAGGTGCCGTAAACCACTCGAAATTTCCGCAGGTGTTTCCAGCATACCGCAGCATACATTATTTTATTGAGAAAAACATCTAGAAAAATAACTACTGACACTAAAAATAAATAAAATAGATTACCAATACTACACAGACAGGCGGCGCGCTTTGAACGCTTCGTTGATGTCATAGCTTTGGCATTGTTTTCCGTTATAAGCGAGTGCGTAGTTAGGCCGTCGTTACGGCAGCACGTCGACCGCTAACTGTACGTGCACACGCTACGCAGCTTGTACATGCACACGCAGCAGAGCGTGTACGTGAGACATCAACCTCAAGCACCCGCACGCACCACACGGTGCAAAAGCACGCACGCAGGACGTCGTAACGCCGACGCACGCCCGTGGCAAACACACGCACCGCACGGTACGTGCGCGCACACACGACACGTAGTGTACGTCACACGCACGCAGCCGTACGTTGTACGTGCACAACGCACTACGTAGGTGCACACGCACGTACGTGTACGTGCACACACACGCACAGCACGTGCACATGCACGCACGCACGCACGTGCACACGCTTGCACACGTGTACGTGACACGCACGCACACACGCACGCACGCACCACGTGTACGTACACATGCACGCACGCACGTGTACGTGCACACGCACGCACGCACGCGACAGCACGTGTACGTGCACACAGCGACGCACGCAGCCACGCACATGTGCAAAAGCACGCACAAGCACGTGTACGTGCCCACGCACGCACGGCCTGTGTACGTACACACGCACGCACGCACGTACGTGTACGTGCACACGCACGTACGTGTACGTGCACACACACGCACGCCACGTCACGCATCTCACTCGCACGCACGCACAGTGCACACGACGCACGCACTGCGCACGTGTACGTGACAGCGCACGCCGCACGCGGTACGTGCACACGCGACGCACGCACGTGTACGTGCACACCGCACGCACGCCACATGTGCACAATCACGCCACACGTGTAACGTGCACACGCACGCACGCCCGTGTACGTACACACGCACGTACGTGTACGTGCACACACACGCACGCACATGCACATGCACGCACGCACATGCACATGCATGCACGCACACACGTGTACGTGCACACGCATGCACGCGCGCCCGTGTACGTACAAACGCCACGCACGCACGGCACGCACGCACGCACTGTGTACGTGCACACGCACGCACGCGCACACGTGCACGTGCACGACCACGCAGCGTGTACGTACAACACGCACGTGTACGTGCACACGCAACGCGTACAAGCACGAAGCCCGTGTACGTACACACGCACGCGACGCACGTGTAACGTGACACGCACGCACACACACACACGCACGCACGCACGTGTACGTACACACGCACGCACGGCACGTGTACGTGCACACGCACGCACGCACGTGTACGTGCACACAACACGCACGCACATCGTGCACATGCACGCACGCACGCACGCACGTGTACGTACACACGCACGCACGGACGTGTACGTGTCGGCTGCTTTCATGAGTGTTGAACGCAATCATACAAACGAAATATGGACACTATCACATACCCCGAGCACTCATGTAGACAGAGCTACGACGAGCCATATGGTTTAAATACAAGAGAGGCTCAGTTGGTTCCTATCGGTATGTGTTGCACAGTGTGATTGTTTATGCTCGCACGCCTCTCAACAGCCACCAGCCACGATGGCGTAGTGGATTTACACTGGAATTCATCAACATTTGCGTACGCAGGTGCTGACGCTGCGTTGATGAATCGCACCTACGAGCTTTGCGTACCTACTTCGAGAAACTCGGTGTACGCAATACACTTTACGCAACGTTGATATAATCCGGCCCTGCTGATAAATTCATTTGTGCATAGCAAGACGTCCTATACATACGTTCATTTCTACCCCAAAAACACACACTATCAAACTAGTGTAATAAAATTCCGCATAGATGGCGGGCCGGCTATCAAAGGCATCATTGCATCGTCAGCAAAAGCATTGCAGGAATGGCAGCTGTCAGTGTGACGACGAATGCAAAAAGCAGGAGCAAATAATTACCATATTATTTACTATACATAACGTGCGTTCTAATGGTGTCAGTAATAAGGTAGCATTAAACCCCTTGCGAGGCCACATCTGCTCGTTAAAAATAGCTCAATGGTGATACAACCAGAGGCAGAGCAGCTCGTGCAAGATTATAAATTACAGCAATACGATAGACAATAGCTCTAAACTAATTTCAGTACAAGGTAGGCCAGTGATTACGTGGACCGAAATAAGCTCAAGAATGTACACACTTGCGTCTATATTGGTGCCAAAATTCTGATGAGAAAATTAAGTCTGGGAAATCCGCAGCCTCACTCCTGGTAATTATTTGAGTGCTAGTGACTGTATTCCAACTATCATAATGTACACTACAGAATCTTATATATAAGTCCATGTCATTATCTCCTAAGTAAAGCTAAAGTCACACCAACTCTCCGACCGGGCCGGACCGCTGCCGGACTGAATCCGGGGAGAGATCCTTGTTGGGTCCTGGACGGTCCTGGACGGTCCGGGGTGGTCCTTGATGGTCCCGGGCGCATTCCGGGATATCGCCCCGGATGTTTTAAACTGTTTAAAATTGCCGGGGTGATCCGGGACGTCCGGGAAGTTTTCACCATCCGGGGTGGTCCTGGACGATCCGTGGCGCGTAAGTAAAGCTAAAGTCACACCAAGCTCCAACCGGGCCGGACGCTGCCGGACTGATCCGGGGAGAGATCCTTGTTGGGTCCTGGACGTCCTGGACGGTCCGGGGTGGTCCTTGATGTCCGGCGCATTCCGGGATATCGCCCGGATGTTTAAAACTGTTTAAAATTGCCGGGGTGATCCGGGACGGTCCGGAAGTTTTCACATCCGGGGTGGTCCTGACGATTCCGTGGCGCGTCCGTGGTAGGTCCGGGACAGTCCGTAGTGGCAACCGTGTTGAACCGGGCGCCATCCGTGGCCATCCGTGTCGTTTTTGTCGGCCACGGATCACGATCAAGCCGGACCCAACACGGATGGGAGCATGGATTGGGCCAGGACGGGGCCGGACCAGGCCGGATCAGGTCCGTGCGGTCCGAGGCAGTCCGGGGCGGTCCGGCGGCGTCTGTAGTGATCTCCGTGCTGGGCCGGCTTCATCCGGCCTCAATCCCAGGATGGTCGTGGCGCTGCGTGCTGGTCCGGCCCGATCCGCGCTGATGATGCTTTTTTTCGACCCGGATCGCCACGGATTATAAATTTTACGGTCGCGGGAGATCCTGCCCCCATCCGCGTAATGGTCCGTGGACAGTCCGCCCCCCAGTGTGACTTTAGCTTAAGCGTTGTTCAAGTAAGAGTTATGTGTGAATTTCACTGTAAAATGGAGCTTTCCACACCCACAGGTACTCGCCAAAAACAGTTGAGAGAAACAAATCCATGTTTAACCCTCCTCTTGAGGGTCAAAAGATTATCCGACACTTACTCTTCACATGTCAGCGGAAAGTAGCATTTCATGGTCCCTTTCAATAAAGCCATAAAAAGCTAGGTCACCGCTGAAACAAAAAATTTTCCAATCGCTTCCGTCAGACCACTCCGTCACTTCCGTCACTCCGTCAGAAAAATGTCTAAAATCTGCGCTGTGGCCCCATTGACCTTTGACCTGTGACCTCCAATTTCGGCACAGTGATGGCTTTTCCTACCATGATGCTATACACCAACTATCCCGAGCCGTTTAGATTTGTGCCGCAATTCTGCATTTCCTCCCTATACCTTAAGTTAAGGAGTGAATGTTCCCCCTTCTTTTACACCTCTTGACCTTTGACCTTTGACCCCCCAGCTTCGACATCCCAACTCGTTTTGACGATCCCCCGCCCGATGTGCCGAATATCGTGACCGTACGTCGAGCGGTTAAGATTTGTGCCCAACTGTTGACGCACGGATGGCCGGACGGACGGACGATCATGCGATTCTACAAGCTGCATCTGACTACGTCAGATGAGCTAAAAAGAGTAGAGCACAATGTGCACAATAAATTCAATTTCTCATGTTGGCACACTAAGTCCTGTCAGAAATACATAGAACTACCACAGGATCTGTACAGAGGCACACATGAGAGTACATGAGAGGTACATACCATCCCCGTACATCGGTGTCATGGAGCCATACAGCGGTGTACGACCACCAGCCGCCCTGTCATACATCGGAGTGTTCGAACCATACATGGGCGTCTTTGTATACGTCGACACACCACCCGTGTTCTTCTGGCCTCTGCAAAGTAACAGCACACGTGTAATGTCAAGGACAAAAATACCTCCAATCCTCACTTCCTGTATGAATTTAGGCCAACCAATATATTATTTATAAACAGATGCATAGTATTGATATCAGTGTTAACACGATGAACAGTTATAAATAAATATTCAAATTTCATACGTAAGTATGGTTAATCTTGTTCTATCGACGGATATTGTTTTGCAGCCAGAGTGAAGTTCCACCCTGGCCAAAGTCTCAGTGGCATCTTTCACTATTCCAATGTGTCCTAAAATAACGCAAATCAAGTATAGCTTCAATTACCTGTGTAAAAATGACACAATTGTGATCATAGCTTACAAATTACGTATGGCAAAATTTATGTAACCCGAGTTGTCATAACGTGGGGTATTAATGTACAAGAAGAGCTACAGTCACTGTTTCAGTTACTCAAGGCATGGCATATGGCTGCAGCAAAAGCAATCTTTTTATCTAGTGAACAGTTGTACTGAGCACACCTTTGAACGGCCCTTGTACCACTCGTACTGTCTGCCCAATAATTTCTCTGTCTCGACCTGCGAAACCACGGCCTCTTCCTCTTCCACCTCCTGAAAAAAAAATCACCACATAACACATCAGCCATGTGTTGCCTGCTGCAATGTATTCATGGCCTATATGTGTGCATTCTTTTGTATATTCTCACAGGAAACATATATAATTTCAAAGGTAAGCTGTTTAGGCACAAACAGAAGTCTGAAGCTTACACCAGGGGCCCGTTGTCAGAAACAAAATTAGTCTTAACATTAGTCTTAACATTAACTTCCACTCGTAAACCGTTGACAGAAACATCGCAAAGTTATGAGAACAAGTGCCGCGGAGCGACAGCGCTCATCTAACGTCTACTGCGGTGACTCTGTGGTGGAGTGGTGGGATTCTAGTAAACCCTGTAGCCAAATGTTCACAATACCGCCGAAACAGGAAGCACACGATGGTACAGAAACTTCTCAAAGGAATTCGTTGGATAGTTATGAAGTTGCCACATAGATGGAGCGTTACTTAAGTGTCCTTCAGAACTAAGATGGAAGCTCCCATCGTACGCTAGTGCAAACAACTATTGCAAGAAGAAGTTAAGACTCATATCATTGACCTACGCAATCCTAAAGGACTGGCAATAGAGAGTGCACCTTAACCAATTAAACAGCAAAAACTACAAGTCAGTAGTACGACCAACATGAACTGGCATTGGCATACGTGTACATGAACTATGACATAACCAATGCCAAAGAAATATAACGATTTAAAGGAGCATAAACTACATTCAAACCAAATTTAGCTTTGAATTTTCACTGTGACATATAGTAGCTCCATACATCCAGGCATGTATAGATTCACTACAAACCGCAGTCAAATTCTTTCTAGACATACAGTAACAATTCATGTTTAACCCTCCTCTTAGGTCAAATATATCACGAACCTTTCTTTCGCATGTCAGTCAAGAAGGTAACAATTCATGTCCTTTCAATAAAGCCATAAAATCTAGTGTGAGGCGCTGAAAGACAAAAAAATTTTCAAAATGCCCGTCAGACCAATGTCTCAGAAAATGTCATTAAAATCTGCCCGTATGCCCATTACCTTGACCATTGATCCTCCAATTCGGCAACAGTGATGGCTTTTCTACCATATTCTATAGCACCGCTAATAACGAACTAATGTCAAGCCATTTAGATTGTGACGCAATTCTGGCATTTTCTTCGCTTACATTAAAGTTAATGAGGGAATGTTCCCTTCTTACACTCTTGACCTTTGACATTGAACCCACTTCGAGTCATCCCAACTCGTTTTGAGGATCCCCCCGACGTCCCGAATATCGTGACCGTACGTCGAGCGGTTAAGATTTGTGCCCAACTGTTGACGCACGGACGGACAGCCGGACGGACGGACGGACGGACGATCATGACTTCGTCAGATGAGCTAATAAAAAATCCTCGAAAATATCCTCTTAACTTCACGAGAGACCAGACACTCTCGTAACTTTAATATTAAGATGAAAATAACACATTTACACTACGAATTACAATTATAGTGATATTATATTTTATAATGAGTAAAATGCGTTTTTTTCTTTAAAAACACGTCAAAAACATTAATTATCTACCTATCATAAAACAAAACAAAACATTTACAAATGGCGTATGGCATTTGTTCTCTTTTTAAATGACTTGCCACTTGGCACGACTCTCGCGTCTCGTGTTACAGTGTGAGAATTTGTCTTGTTGTGCAGAATAAATTCATGACCGCGTCGTTTTTCATCAAATATTACTGTGGCTATCCATCATAATATGCATAAACTGCTGTGATATACAATGTGTATGAATTTAAATTTTGTGATCGATTCTCATCCAATCAGCAGCCTTGTGACATGAAATTATGAAGTTCCTGTTATCGCGAGTTTGCTCGTAGCTACGATGTGTTTCTGTCAACGCTACTCTCGTAACATTAACATTAGTCGCAAGTGTTATCGTAGCATTAACATTAGCATTAACTTTACGATGTTTCTGACAACGGCCCCCAGACTTTGCAATATGTTTCACACTTGCCTTGAGGTTGGCCAGCACCGGCGCCGCCCGGGTGCATTGGGCTGGACAGCCGTGGAGACATCGGTGCAAACACTCCAGTCATCGAGAGCGTGTTTGAAGGCTGTAGCAAACAACAATGCGACGTCTTGACACAGACTTCTTGTGAAATAGTAAATAATGATAAAAGTTAGGAAGGCAAGAGTAAAGTAGTAATCACTTAAACAGGCATTAGATAAATAGGCACCTTGCTTAAATAGCATACGTCTTTGAAAAACAATCTTCACGCACATTATTTTAACCGGAGAAAGGGGACAATTCCTTCTTCTTAACTAAGCATTGTAAAGCAACCCTAAACATAGAAGCAAACTGAAAATTATCTGTTTTTCAGCTGATTCTAAACACAATGGGCTCACAAAACATTTTTAGAGGCAAACTCGTGTATTTTTATTATAGTGTGCAAGGGTGGTCCCCAACCTAAAATTCAAACATGTAAAACTGGGAACTTTAGAGGAGTACTTTAGATATTATGTGAAACATGTGCGCGAAGCGCACATCACGAGTGCAAAGTTGCCCGTTTGGCTAGTTGCCCGATTGGACAACTAAAAAAATTCTAGTTGTGTAATATTCCTAACATCCTTTGAGCCAGGGCCAGAGATGCCAACACATATTTGAAGCAATCTGTAGTTTCTGGCCATCAAATTAGTAGTTCGAGGGTCACGTAGTGACCCGAGTCTGCTAGGGGGGTCCGGCATGCCCCCCCGGAAAATTTTTTGATTCTGTGATGCAATTTCCTGCATTTTGAGGGTAAAAAATGACAATATATTGACAAAAAATGAAAATAATTAACAAAAAAAAAGTTTTTTTCTATCACAGTGAAATTCGTAGTTGGATACAAACTGGTCGTAGTGGTGCAAAAGGAATAGAAATTCGTATAAAATACGGATAAATCGTAGTGGTTGGCATCTCTGCAGGGTGCTATCGCACGACATTCTCACGTTATATTTTCAAAGGTCGCCAAAAAAAGCGGCCCGCGAGGCACGCGTCTGCAGCTGTGCACATCAACGCTGCATACGTGCCTGCTGGCAGGGGCGGCATTGATTGAAGTACGGGAGGTGGGGTGCACAATTGTTTCAGTCGCGTGGTGCTAATCACTACTGAAATGTAGGGGGTGGGCACCATTGGACTACGAGAGAGCGATGGCAAAACTCTTTCCTGGAATTGAGGAAAAAGCTACAATCGGGAATGACACACGAGGGTGACGGCACGCAAAAATAAACGTGTGAATTTCATTATGATTTTCCATGGATTACCGTTCTATAATCCTACGGGTCGTTGGTCCTACAGGTCTACGTAGGCACACACGCACACACAGGCACGCACGCACGCACGCGCGCAGGCACGCGTGCATGAATCAGAGCAAGCAGCTCAGAAGACGTAGACACACTGTATGACTTGACTGCCCATAGACAAGTGGGAGCCCATGCACAGAGTAAACAAGTGTAATAGACTGTAATAGTGTATGCTACAAGCGCGTGCTGTGACTACGCGTACGTTCTTGCTTTGATATTTCAAACCTGTCGGACTGAAATCCAAACCTGTCGGCGATTTTCAAACCTGTCGGCTCAAAACTCAAACCTGTCGGCCTTACATGTTAAAACCCCTCGTGGACCACACTGAGTGTGTATTGTACAGTGCATGTTGTGTAGAGACGATTGCATTAGGTACAAATATGCATACATGAGCGACTGGAAATGTGTTCACTGCTTTATAGGTATCAACACTTAATCGAAACATTTTTATGGTTCCCTAATGTCCCAACCACTGTATTTAAATCTTGAAAGTTGCCGCATTCCAAGTATGCACGCGGTCATTTTATGCGTGTAATATTTACAGTCAAAGAAAACACACTATTAAAATATATGTATGGAGTTACTATCAGTGAGGGTTAAGTGCACACACGACTTGAGATACTAAGTGCGTACCCGTGATCCTCCAGCGAGCGACAGATGTTTGGTGCGGCATACAAATATGCCGCCATTTTCTGTCATTAGACGAGAATGAAGATATGCGTAACTTCGGTAAAGGTGTTTAATCTCTCCCTGTCGACCCTGTGACAAAAAACCTTCAGATTAAAGATAGTTAGTGACGCAACTGTAAAATGTTATTGTTTGCATATCAAATATTTTCAGTCATTAAAAAGCACTGTGTTCAGTAGATATCTTGAAACAATAGGACTATGATAGCAACAGGGACTGGCAGTCCAGGTGTATGTAATACGGTAGTTACCGAATGTGGGCCATCAATAACCTTGACTATGTCTCTGACTCTAATACTGTTTTGCTCAAAGTCAAGTGCCACAGCGAACCTGCTGTCCTTCTTTTTCGTGATCGCTGCCGGCTTCTTACTGACAATCTAAAATAAAGTGCCATATTATTAGATTTAATAAAGGAAAATATGGAAATTGCAGGGCAGAGGCATAACAAAGATAACACTGATTGCAAAGCACATATAATAGAGGTGTACCAGATTCTAGTAGATGGCAGACAAAGTGGAGAAAATTAGTAGAATTTGTGCAATGTACTGTTAGGGATGTTTGAGGACCAGAGAACGGCAATGACGAAGCCATGAGCAAGAGAATGACTGCATATGGTACTGGGCTCAGGACTGGCTGAGAGCATTAGGCAGTTGTGTAGATTGCGGAGTGTTGCGTGGCTCTATATTTGGGAGGACCGGAGATCTGGACTAAAGATGCTAAGACGGGGAGACACCAACAGAGATGGGAAGACTCCAAGATGGGAAGGAAGGCTCCAGGCCCCTCACCCTTGGTGACCTCACAAGTTGTAACCAGTAGTTATGCTAAAGTAAAGACCGTTTTTTTAAGAACCAGCTTTCACCTACCAGTTTCCATCTACTGGTACACATACTTGGCTACATTCTGTTGCCGTGAACCAGCCAGGTAACATACTTTTCTACACCAGATTGGCACACAACCTGCAAATGGGGTTGAGAAAGCTGATTCCAAGTAGAACATCTACTTACCTTTCCATGCATTGTGAGCACCTGGAAATTTTCCTTCTCAAGCCTTACAATGCACCCAACTGTTTGAGGGCTGTAAAATGACAGACCTTGAAATGTGTAATTCAGTATTATACAATGTAACTGGTTATTGCCTGAAATTGAGTATCTATACATTTTCCTAAAAAAGTGATATACTTACTCAAGTTGAACTAGGTCGCCCCACTGGAACTGACCTAGGGAATCAACACCGGTTGCCATATCTTCACACAGCTGTAAGTCTGAAGGCCTAACTTTCAGCTGATGTGATCAAAAACGACTGTTAGACAGCAATTCTGAAAGCTACTGCTACTGGATATTTACAAAACTGTTTGCAAGTTAAACGAAAATTGCCACAACACATATATACATACACACATAGCACAATATGTACTTGTTCATGAAAGTAACTATTGTACCAAGCCAATTACGAAATACTTCCCATTACTGAAAAATCATACCGAACTTACTTAAGCCAATTCATACTACTCATACCAGGGGTAGAAATTAACTTTTGAACAAGGGAGTCCAATGGACTCCCTGCCCTTAAAAAGAGGGAGTCCGCGGCAAAATGAGGGAGTCCGCAGTCTGAAGTTCCAAATTAAAGATATTAAAGGCATAATAGGTCCATTGATTATGCAATTTTGAGGAATGCTAGAGTAACTGGCACCATGTGTAGTTAATAAGTACATTCCCTTATAGCCAAACGCGTATTAGTTTGTCCAATATCACTGCTGGTTACATTACAAACAAGACTTGAAATCGGTTGTTGATATGCATCAACGTATCATTTACGTGCCGTAAATGTCATCCAGGAGTCAAGCTATGATGTAAACATTTGTGCGGCCCGTATGTTTTAGACGCCAGATGAAACGGAGGTGTCAGCGGTGTAACCACGGCCACAGACTAAACATGGAAATAGAGTAAAACACACGTACTAATCACGGACGCACGTGGACTGCCCTATCAAAAAGTTCCTTATCACGAGCGTCTATGTTTACGAAATCACTGATGATAGCATTGCGTACGGCCGAGCATGCGTGCGAAAATGTCCGGTACACTATAAATCTGTATCACACCCGCTTCGCCGGCAGCGGTTTGAAACTGTAAACAACTGATTTTTGGACTGCGGATTTCAATTAGACATTTCTTAGTAACCAGCAGTGATATTGGACAAACTAATACGCGTTTGGATGTAAGGTAATGTACTTATTAACTACACAAGGTGCCAGTTACTCTAGCATTCGTCAACATTGCATAATCAATGGACCTATTATTCCTTTAACAATAACGCATGTGCTTATTTTGAAGATTCATGCGGTTGCACGTCTGCCAAATTTTCTTTGGAGATTTCCTGACAAAATACGGTAATTCTGCAAGGCCGTGCTCGAACTAGTTAGTATGGCAAAATTTTCAGGGAGTCACACGGACTCCTGCATATGTCAAATCAGGGAGTATTTGACTCCGGACTCCCGTTAATTTTGCACCCTGCATACTAAACTTACCTAAGAGGGTAATTGAATGCAAATAGCTTATCAAAATCACTGTTATGTTAATCAGTTCTAACCGTGGTATTATACCTCATGCATGGTGAGATCAGAGAACAACACAATGAGGTTCTCTTCTACTCGCACAATCAGACCTGTGTCATTTTCAAACCGACCAGAGATGACCTTAACATGGTCGCCCATCTTGAAGAACTTCTTTAGCTCATGTGCAGGAAACTCCAATGGGTCCTAACGAACAGCAAATAAGGCAGATGTCATCAAACAAATATAGCACAGGTTGCTTTGCTTAAAACAATGACACTGAATTGATTGTTTTTCATTTTCCACACTCAAGGCACATTACTCTAATTCAGCTATATAGGTATACATTCTTGTGACGAACCTTCAGGTCTTCGTGTTTTGGTATGATGGTGATCTTGTTGCCATCGACACTGATGATTTTGCCCTGTAGGTGAACAAGCTCGCCTTCCGCGACCTCTACCACATCTCCTGGAGAGAGACTGTGTCCTTTGTTTTCCTTCCCAGCTGTCGTTGCCACTACAGTCATCACACATTTAAGAGTATAACGCTTAGAGAAGGAATGGCAACGATAGCCTCGTGTCACTACAAATTTGACAGACAAGCCAAACACATCGCATTAGACACTCCTAACTTTCACATCCAACCAAACTTGCCAATTTATACTTTTAGAGCTGCATGGTTCTCCCCAAGAATTTCAGAAGGCATGTCTACCAAATGAGTAATTAATTCCCATTTGGTAATTAAAGTGATTACGTCACCGTAAATAGTAAAAATAAAATAAAAATTTCCACTTTTTCACAAAATATAAGTAATTCTGTTCACTTTTTATGGTTAAATTGCTGCATTATACTTCTTATTTTACTATATTGTTCGATGTAAACATACACTCGTGGCTCATACATAGCCCATACAAGCAATTAATGTCAGGAGCACAATATCAAATTGTCCAGGTTTTTTGGATTTTTAACTAGTTGAGAAACAATCTTATCAGGTAAGAATTTGAGGATAGGTCTTTTAGTTAATCCCGTTAGTTCTTACTTTTATTGTAAACAAGAGCCGCAGAATGACTGGGCTCATCTGAGGTCTGTTGGTATGGTTATAAAAGTAACATTTCAGTCGTGCGTAGTGACACCTTTGTTAGGTGCAGATATGCAGATACGCAGTTGCGTACACATCATTTCAGCAAACATTTTTTTTATTGCAGAGAGAGAGAGCGAGAGAGAGGAAGAGAGAGAGAAGGGGGCGAGAGAGAGTGAGAGAGAGAGAGAGAGAGAGAGAGAGGAAGAGAGGAGAGAGAGGAGAGGAGAGGGAGAAGAGAGAGAGAGAGAGAGAGAGAGAGGAGAGAGAGAGAGAGACGAGAGAGAGAGAAGAGAGAGAGAGAGAGAGGAAGAGAGAGAGAGAGGAGAGAGAGAGAAGAGAGAGAGAGAGAGAGAGAGAGAGAGAGAGAGAGAGAGAGAGAGAGAAGGCGAGAGAAGAGAGGGAGAGAGTCAGTCAGACTAAATTGTTTATAAACAAATAACACCCACGCGGCGTGCTACTAGTACTGTATCCGTTACGTCATCGATTGAAATGTACATTCCGATTTGGTGCCGCCGCGCGGTGTCCAAACTTTCGACGAAGATGGTGGGCAGACGCACGTATAACGTACAGATTTCTTCAATGTCGGGGAGGATCAACACATTTCGACTGACAGTCAACCATCGGGCTCTGCAGCGTCCACAAGCACTACTGTAACGTCGACAGAGAGAGCCATGCCAAGGACAGTACAAAACTGGCAAATTTTCATTGGTAGGTTTAACGATTCATTTCTGCAATTACTTATCTCAAGATTGGTTAAACTGAAGCTAAGAAAGTAATTCTTTCTGCACTTTTGAGCGCAATATACATTTGACCTATCCTGCCGGGACATTCTTCTCACTCTGTTCTGATAGATGGTGTGCATACTGACTAGGCGCAGGGAATAGATAATCCGAACTAGTTGCTACCTTCGTTTAGCCCATGCTGTGATACTATCAGCCACCCACCTGCAAGGTAGGCCTATTTATAGTTGGCCTTAATCAAAAACAGACGTTTGCGTAAGTGCTATTGACATTGTATTCCCAATGTACAGAATATCATATAGAGAATGAAGTTCATTTATGATTTAAGGCACGTAAACGTTGTTCAAGTAAGTTTTGCATGCAGAATTTCACTGTGAAATTTAAATCTTCCACGATCACACAAGTACCATCAAACACAGTTCAGACCTTTGTTAACAGTCAACAAATCCATGTTTAACCCTCCTCTTGAGGGTCAGGTTATCAGACAATTACTCTTCGCACGTCAGTGGAAAGCACATTTCATGGTCCTTTCAATAAAGTGATAAAAATGGTAGGTCAGCGCTGAAACAAAAAAGTTTTCCACTCTGTCCATTAGGCCATGTCCTCAGAAAATGTCTGATATCTGACCTTTCCCCCACTGCCCTTTGAGCCTGTGACCTCCAATTTCGCACTGGTGATGGGTTTCCTGCCCATCACACTATACACCGAATATTAAGAGCATAGGTCGAGCCGTTCAGATTTGTGTCGCAATTCCGTATTTCCTCCTATACCTTAAGTTAAGGGGGAAATATTCCCCCTCCATTGACACATCTTGACCTTTGACCCTTGACCCCCAAATTGGTCATCCCGAGTCCTTTTCACGATCCCCCCCCCCCTCGACGTCCCGAATATCGTGACCGTACGTTGAGCGGTTAAGATTTGTGCCCAACTGTTGACGGACAGACGCACGGACACACGGACACATGGACGGACGCTCATGTGATTCTACAAGCTGCATCTGACTTTGTCAGATGAGCTAAAAAATGGCAACAAACATTTTACAAATTTTACCATAGAAAATTCGTGACGTAGTCAATTTAAAGTGATTATGCATGTCATAAACAACCCTAACGCACAGCTACACTTGACCAGTTCGGAGATGCATACACATCAAGCTCTGAAAACACCGCATGACTGTGTTGGGATTGTGAAAAGTACACACAGTTAAAACTTAAAGCATATCAATTAGATAATGAAAGTATGTCGGAGGATTTGTGAGATGTCGCCAATTAGCTTTAGTTTTGAAGTCATGATTGACCCAACAGCTGCTTGCTTTACAGGCCTAGGGAGAAACCTGAAGTTATAAGAATATTGGCTAACCTCATATCAAAAATGGTTGGGACATAATCTCAGGGTTAACAATAATTCTAGATTTCTATAGAAAGATACATTCAACATCAATGCCTTCTGGTTGATCTTCAAACTTCTCCAACTCCGACAGGCTTGGTTTAACACCATCAGCAACCTGTGAAAAACATAAATGATGATTTTTAAATTTACACTTGTTTTGATGATCTGCAAAAAGTTTTGGGTAAACCCAGAAACATTGGGTGTACAATCAACTACTGAAAGGCACATCGAAGTTTATTTTGTAACAATTTTTATTATAAATATAGATAATATTAGATGAGCATCAGCAAGGGCACCTCTACTTACTATAGCAGACATGGCAAAATTTTTAAATAGGAAGCCCTTCCGGCTATAACGGTTTCCTTCGAAGACAAGAAAGTCGCCATCTGTCGTGATCTCGCCCCCAATGGCTCTAACTGCATCAACATCAAACAATTTCTGTGATGGCTTCCTTTTCTTCTTCTCAATTGGATCCTGTAAGTGAACACAGTTAACATTGTGATTGCAGACTGGTACAAGTCACAGTCAAATCTATCTGACACAATAAAAACATCAATGTACTTGTCCTAATAGCTGTTTTGCTCGCCTAAGATTTAATATAAATTGATTAGAGATTAGAATTTGGTCAAAAAATAGCAGCCAGCTAGGCCCACTAAAGAAGAAATAGTAGGGGCCCAGCTCAAATTTCAGGAACCCTGCTTATAGCATGAGGCTCCAAAGTTCCTACTTCAGGGATCCTAGGAAGTGGTAAGCGAATTGTATTCTGTAATCGTAGCAGTCAAACCGCAACGCTTTCACTAATTATAGGATGTTTACCTATGCAAACAAACCCTTACACTCTGGGCATCCTTATGATGAAATTCTGGCGTGCAACATCGTTTTTACGTGCCTTGGGAATCTAGGCAAGTGTCAATTTTCATCACTGATACTCTTTGCCATAAATCTCTAAAACCATGTCTTATTTAAGAATATTATTATACCTTATCTAAACATGCCAAGTTGACACTTTCCTCACTGTATCAGGTTACACTGTTACACAAGACTAACAGGTTATAAATGCTGTCAAAAGCTCCTTTTTAATAGTACTGTACTGCTGTGATGCTATTTTGATATGAAATAAAAAATCGTAGTAAGCATTCAATATTTATATGGGTACATAAAACCTCACTTACATTTCCAGTACGCAGAGCTCCTCTCGGTCTAGTATAGTCAATTCGTGGAATGAGCTTTAAATGCACCTGATTCTGAGCCGTGTCTACGAAATCAACCTAGAAATGAAAGTGTCGATGACACTATAGCTCACCTTGAGTGTGATAGAAGAGGAAGATGATATTTAAATTTGTGTTTCATTTATGACTGACCGAAATGTGATCAAATGTCCTTCTTCCCTGTTTTATACTAATAGAAATTTCACTGCTTTGTTTCAGGGCAAGTTTTGATGCTAAAATAAATGTTTCAGATCTGAAAATCTGAAATCTGGGCGAGAGATGGCGCTACGCCTAATTGATCGCCATTTTGGTTTTTGATTATCGTGCAAATAAAAGCAATAAAATATTCCAGTCAAATTACTGTAACGAAGAATCTAAAACACAATATTAGACGTAGGTATGATTAGGTAGGTAGGTAGGTAGGTAGGTAAATTTAACAAAATCGAATGAATCTAGATGGCCATTTTCATTTTTGCCAAAAAGTGGGCGTGGCTCGAAATTTGACTGGCGTGCTCCAAAATAGGACGTTCAAATCTCTCCCATAGGAGTAACAACTGTATGCAATTTGAAACATGTGGGTCAAACGGTTCTTGAGTTATCGTTGACCGTAGGCAGACACTGAAATGCATAGTGAAATTGCCAAAATCTACCTAATTTGCATAATATAAAAAAATATCCAAAACCC